GAGGTGAGGTGGCCGAGGCTTGGCTCAGGAGGGGAGGAGGTTGGGAGGGGACCATTACAGGACAGGACCAGAGGGAAAGGGACCATAAAGATGGAACTGAGGGAAGTTATCATGGAACGGGGAATGACAGAATTCTGGATCTTGGAGAGTGACGGGTGTGACAGGACCCAAAGGGAACCTGTGTGAGGTCTGCTCAAATGAAGCTTAAATGAGAGGAAACAGTGTCCGGAATACTTAGGAGGGCCAGCGACTTGAATCCTGAGGTCACTCAAAAGAGAAAACTGAGACACCAGAGGCCTTGAGGGATGTGAAGGACAGCTGTGAGGTCAGAGGGCAGGGCGCTGACTGGGACAACTCCGAGGAAGAAATGGACAGGGAGGCAGGAAGAAATGGACAAGGAGGCAGAAAGAAAAGTTGGTGTGTGTGTGTGTGTGTGTGTGTCTAAGGGAATTTGCTGTGGGCTGACAAGAAGTCTCTGAAAGTGCAGAGGAAGTTGCTGGCATTGAGGGGACCCATCCGCACAGAGACACCCAGTGGCAGTGTCCAATAGGAGGCATGCGAGCCAGGATGCATTTACATCTATATTCCAGTCTATGCCTAGGGACTCGGCAGCTCACTAACATCCTCCAGCAGACCCAATTCCCAGGCACCAATTTTGAGCATGTTCACCTTACAACTATCGCACATGGTGCCCAGGAAGCATCTGATAAGTCTCTCAAGTAGAAAGACTTAACCATTATGAACAGCTTCAGGTCTCTAGCTCAAACATCCCCTTACCAGGGAACCCAGCCTTTAATACACTGTCTAAAATAGCACCTCCCCTTACTCCATCTGTCTAGCCCTTGCTCTGCTTTATTTTTCTTAACTCTTATTACCACTCTCATATTACATATCTATGTGCACTGTTTTATCCTCAATGCTTAGAACAGGATCTAGTGCACAATGAACACTCCATAAATATTTTTAGGGCTGGCTGGTTAGCTCAGTTGGTTAGAGCACGATGTTACAACACCAAGGTCAAGGGTTCAGATTCCTGTACCAGCCAGCCACCCAAAATAAATAAGTAGATAACCATTTTTCAGGATGGGGTAAGAGCAGTGGCTTTTTAGATTATTGAATAAATTATCTTTGAAACCCCAAAGCTAGATTTTGTTGGGAAGGGAGACTTTTAAGAGTGGTTCTGAGCTTTGTGGGATTTGATCATTCTAGCATCTCTACTCTGAACAGTTCTGTCCCAGGCAGAGCAGGTAAAGTCTTTGCTGACCTAATACAACCTCCTGGAGTCTGCAAGATGGCTCTCATGCAACGCCAAGACATGCTCTGACAGCCCCCCACACCCCACCCCATTGAACCTGGCTGGGATTCAGCTGCGTTCACAGCACCCACTCTCTGCCCAGCCAGACTAGGCAAGAAGACGGTGGCGCAGCCTTTTCTGCTGGTAAAAAATAAAAGCGGCCCCATTTAAACAATTTCTATAATGGTATTTCTCCTTCTTTCTACCTACTCTGGAAATGTGCCCATAATACATCCCTATGTGTGGAAATGTTTCCCTAATGCATCGGAGGTGCATCCTCTCCCAGTTATTGGCCACCTCAAGGCATCGTGGATGCATTTCACTAGGATACCATCACCACCACACCACTGTCCATTACTGGAACAATAGTACAGTTTTACTCTTATTTTTCTCTACCAATTTCTAGCAACTGTGGATCTGTAATTAGCATGAAAAGCCAATCTGTCCTGAAATGAATCAAAGCAACACATACCGTGACCTGGGCAGAGTCGAGGAACTGGAGGCCAAAGTAATCTGTTTCCACAAGGTCCAAGTGGTACACGATCTGATCAAACAAATCCTGGCCTTTGGCATGTTTCTGGAAGACAATCCGGTAGAAGAAAATTTAGGGTGAGACAGCAGGATAAGAAACAAAAATATTAAAAACAAAAACAAAAACCTCTGTAAATTGCATACACATGTGTCACTGCACACAATTTTTTTTAAAAAGTGTAATACAAACTCATGATTAAAGAAGTTCAAATGCCACATAATAGTGTAAAGTTAAAAATCCCAGATAATTCTGTTAACCCTGGCTAGTCTCTCCTCACAAAAAGAATGCTTTTTGGATGAATGCCTACATGTGACAACAAGCTTTGCCAAAATCAGACACTCCTGAAGAAAGGTAGGAGGGGCTCTACGCTAGCGAAACCTGGGCCACTTCTCAACACAGGCAACGTTAGGAAATCAAGCTCATCCTTTGGAAGTGGCTCCTCCAACCTTCCGATTTCACACAAAGCAGGTAACCAAGCCTGCTGAAGGTCATAGGCCTCGGAGCCAGGACTCAAACCCAAATTCCAGGTTCATTCCAGGGTTGTGAGTGTGGTCTACACATGGGGCATGAGCCCAAGAAAGGAGTCAGAGAGACAAAGGGTCAAGTCCTGCACCTGCCACTTACTAGTGAGAGTAACCTTGAGTAAGTCACTTCTCTTTATATTTCTAGTCCTGCCTCTGTAAAATGGGCCTGCTGCTACCTGCTCTCCCCACCTCTCCTTGGGAGATCAAAAGAGATCTCAAATGTGAAACCACTGCAAAGACTGACGTCTTTGGTAAACAAAAAAGCATATTAATCCTCACCCAAGCAAAACACAGGCATATTTCTAGGTAAAAACTATATCGCTGCCAATGAATCCAGACACAAATATGTTTAAATCTAAGTGTCATAATGATAAAAGAAAAGACAATAACAACTCTAAGGGAACCAATTCCTAATTAAGAAAACTGGTTAAGGGCCGGCCCGGTGGCGCACTCCGTAGAGTGCGGCGCTTGGGAGTGTGGCAGCGCTCCCGCCGAGGGTTCGGATCTCATATAGAGACCGGTCCGCTCACTGGTTGAGCGCGGTGCAGGCGCAACAGTGAGGGTTGCGATCCCATTGCCGGTCGCGGTACGGGCGCGACACTGAGGGTTGTGATCCCATTACCGGTCACGAGAAAAAGACAAAAAGGAAAAAAAAAAAAAAAAAGAAAACTGGTTAATAAAGGGAAAGAACCCAGCATTG